CCCTTTTCTCCTTCCCTTCCTGTCCCACCTTCTTCCTTTCACCTCTTCCCTTCCCTTCCCCCTTCCCTTCTTTTCCCTGTTTCCCTTTCCTTCCCTTCTTTCCTTCCCTTCCCTTTCCTCCTTCTTCCTTTCCCTCTTCCCTTCCCATCTTCCCTTCCCTTCCCTCCTTCCCTTCCCTTCTTCCCTACCCTTCCCTTCCTTTTTGCCCTTCCTTTTTCCCTTCCCTTCCTTTCCCTCCTTCCCCTCCCTCCTTCTTCCTTTTCCTTTTCTTCCCTTCCTCCATTCCCAAACCTTCTTCCCTTCCCTCCTTCCCTTTCCTTCCCTCCTTCTTCCTTTGCCTTCTTCCTTTTCCTTCTTTCCTTCCCTCTTTGCCTTCCCTTCCCTTCCCTTTTTGCCTTCCCTTCCTGTCCCACCTTCTTTCTTTCCCCTCTTCCCTTTCCCCTTCCCTTCTCTTCCCTGTTTCCCTTTCCTTCCCTCCTTCCCTTCCCTTCCCTCCTTCTTCCTTTCCCTCTTCCCTTCCCATCTTCCCTTCGCTTCTTCCATTCCCTTTCCTTCTTTCCTGCATCCCTTCCCTTCCCTTCCCTCCTTCTCTTCCCTTCTTCACTACCCTTGCCTTCCCTTTTTTCCTTTCCCTTCCCTTTCTTTTTTCCCTTCCTCTTTCCCTTCCCTTTCTTTCCTTTCTTGCCTTCCCATGCCTCTTTCCCTTCCCATCCATTCTCCCCTTCCCTTTCCTTTTCTCCTTTCCTTCCTATCCCTACTTCTTCCTTTCCCTTGTTCCATTCCCTTCCCTCCTTGCCCTCCCTCCTTCTTCCTTTCCCTTCTTTTCTTCCCTTCTTCCCTTCTCTTCCTCTTCCATTGACTTCCCTTCTTCCCTTCCCTCCTTCCCTTCCCTTCACCTCTTCTTCCTTTCCCTTCTTCCCTTTCCTTATTCCCTTCCCTTCCCTTCAATTCCCTTCCCTTCCCTTTCTTTCCCTTCCCTTTCCTTCCCTTCTCTTCCCTCCTTCCCTTCCCTTCACCTCTTCTTCCTTTCCCTTATTCCCTATCCTTATTCCCTTCCCTTCACTTCCCTCCTTCCCTTCCCTCCCCTTCCCTCCCTCCTTACCTTTGCTTTTGTCCCTTCCCTTCCCTTCCCATTTTCCCTTCTTGTGTCCCCTTCCCTTCCCTTCCCTTTTCCCCTTCCTTTCACTCCTTCCCTTCCCCTCCATTCTTCCCTTCCCTTCTCTGCTTTCCTTCCCTTCTTCACTTCCCTTCCCTTCCTTTCTTCACTTATCTTCCCTTCTTCTCTTCCCTTCCCTTCCCTCTTCCCTTCCCCTCCCTTCCCTTTCCTCCTTTCCTTCCCTTCACTTCTTCCTTTTCATCTTCTTCCTTTCCCTTCCCTTCTTTCCTTCCCTCCTTCCCTTCCTCCCTTCCCTCCTTCCTCCCTCTCCATCCTTCTTCCTTTCCCTTCTTCTCTTCCCTTCCCTTCCTTTCCCTTCCCATCCCTCCTTTCCTTCCTTTCCATTCCCTTCTTCCCTTTTCTTCCCTCCTTCGCTTCCATTCTTCCCTTCCCTTCCCTTCCCTCCTTCTTTTTTTCCCTTATTGCCTTCCTTTCACTCCTTCCCTTCCCCTCCATTCTTCCCTTCCCTTCTCTGCTTTCCTTCCCTTCTTCACTTCCCTTCCCTTCCTTTCTTCACTTAGTTTCCCTTCTTCCCCTCCCTTCCCTTCCTTTTTTCCCTTCCCTTCCCTCTTCCCTTCCCCTCCCTTCCCTTCCCTCCTTTCCTTCCCTTCACTCCTTCTTCCTTTCCCTTCTTCCCTTCCCTTCCTCATTTCCCTCCCCTTCCCTCCTTCCCTTCCCTTCTTCCTTTCCATTCCCTTCTCTTCTTCCCTTCCCTTCCTTTCCATTCCCATCCCTCCTTTCCTTCCTTTCCATTCCCTTCTTCCCTTTCCCTCCCTCCTTCTTTTTTTCCCTTATTCCCTTTCTTTTTTCCTTTCCATTCCCTTCCTTTCCCTTCCCTCCATCCCTTCCCTTCCCTTCTTCCCTTCCCTTCCATTCTCTTCTTCCCTTACCTTCTCATCCATTCTTTCTTCCCTTCCCTTCGTCCATTCCCTTCCCTTCTTCCCTGCATCCTTTCCCTTCCCTTTCCTTTTTTCCTTCCCTTTTTCCCTTCCCTTCCTTTCCTTTCCTTTCCCTTCTTCTCTTCCCTTCCCTTCCCTTATTCTCTTCCCTTCCCTTCCATTCTTCCCTTCTCTTCTTCCTTCCCGTTCCATTCCCTTCCCTTGTTCCCTTCCCTTCCCTTTCCTTCCCTTCCCACCTTCCCTTCCCTTTTCTCCTTTCCTTCATTACTTCCCTTCCCTTCCCTTACTTTCTTCCCTTCCCTTCCTTTCCCTTCTTCCATTACCTTCCCTTCTTTCCTTCTTCCCTTACCTTTTCTTCCATTCTTCACTTCCCTTCCCTTCCCTTCTTCCATTCCATTCCCTTCTTCCCTGTATCTCTTCCCTTCCCTCCTTTCCCTTTCCTTCCGTTCCCTTCCCCTCCCCCCTTTCCTTCCCTTTTCTTCCCTCATTCCCTACCATTGCCTCCTTCCCTTCCCTTTTCCCCTACCCTTTCCTTCCCTTTCCTTTTCTCTTCCCTTTTCCCCTTCCGTCCTTTCCCTTCTTCCCTTCCATTGCCTCCTTCCCTTCACATCCATTCTTCCTTTCCCTTCCCTTCCCTCCTTCCATTCCCTTCTTCCCTACCTTACCCTTCCCTTCCCTTCTCTTCCCTTCCCTTCTTTTTTCTCTTCCTTTTTCCCTTCCCTTCCTTTCCCTTCTTCCCTTCCCTTGCCTCCTTCCCTTCCCATCCATTCTTCCCTTCTCTTCCCTTCCCTTCCCTCCTTCCCTTCCC